AATTTGGCTCAGGATCGTACAATGCTTGCCATAGATGGACTGCGCCGGTGGTGATGAAGGCAATGGTGAAGAAAATGGCCGCGCCTTTGTTGGGTCCGTAGAACCATACGCTCCCTTCGACGTACTCCCCACCCGCCATCGTCGTTTGTCTGGCAAGGTGAGGATCTGATGGGCTCGTAGAAAGGGTTCCCCGTCTGGTACGAGCGTCGAGTAGGAGGAAACGTTTCTCTCTGGAGTCTGGACACGGAGGGCTTGGAGAGAATAACGAATCCCGGGGTATCGAGTAGTATCGATTAGTATCAAAAGATGTTATTTCGTCTATTCTATGGTACGCGACGATATATCTAGAATATACCAAGAATTCAACCCAACTTCCAAACGCCCCCATGACTCCCACTCCCTTTATAATAGCTAGCTACTCCATCAGTACTATTAACTAGCCATTCTCCCACACAACCTCAGCATATCTCGACAGCAAATCCCCCCAAAAACCATACTCAGGTCTAAGCCACGATCAATCATCATGACTTGCCTTCTTCCTGCTTACCAGGTAATAAGCATAGACCAGGCGCTTTTCATTCGTCCAATAGCTTCCAGATTCATCTTATGTCACCCCGTAGTAGCAGACCTGTCCATACGTCTTCTAGATTGAACCAACCTTTGCGCTGAGGTCGGCTTACTCGTTTCTTGGCCATTCTTGTATATCTACTTGGAAATGATCGGCGGGGGGTGCTTCACCAATACCAATCAATCAACTTTACTTACAACTGATTGGCTTACCCAGAGCGTATCTCGGCTTGGGTATGCTTTGGTATTACTCCCATTCCTTTCTTCTGAGCTGGATCCAGGTCGAAAGATGTTTGTGCAAGTATGTAAATAGTAGGCTGTACTCGCATTCGCATGGTGACGGACGGCTTACATACACCGGACTTGGCTTGAAATTGGCCAAGGAGCGAGGCATACGTCCTATGGCTATCAGGACAAGAGGGCTGAATCCATCTTACCTAGAAGCAAACACGTATCGAGTGGTTGGCCGTCAGATATTCTCCACGCCGTGAGGCATACCGTAGCCAAGCCCATGATGGAGGCTTTGACGTGAAGAAACGGCAAAATGGTGATGACTTCCCAAGTCATTCGCCATGACCGGAGCACCCGACGGAAACTCCCTAGATACACGTTCTTTGGGCAGTCATACCAAGGGGTTACGCCTGCATCCGTCCCAGTTCCATACAGCAACAGTGAGAATAGCTGCATGGTATCGTACCTAGTTTACCAGTCACGAGAGAGAGAGAGAGAGAGAGAGAGAGTATACAACATAGACAATCTAGTATTAGGATTGACTCTTTATATGACTATATTTAACGAGCATTTGAATCAAACGCGAATCGTCTAACAAAATGTACGTCTTATAAAGCAATGGCACGAAGCCTACGTTTTGTACACACCTGCGCCTCTCTAGAGGGTAGTCAGTCTCTCTCTAACAAAAACGCCCCAGGGGATTATAAAACCACCGCGTATAAGGAGGGTATATGGTATGAATCAAATGACAGTCCTGACTTTCCTATATAAATTCCAACCAACCAGACATGCCGACACATGACTGTTGTCCCCGGTAGTCCCAACTCCGAGAGAATCCATCCATGCAACCCTGATATGTGTTGCTCGTCTCTGTGTGTTCCGTTTACATGAGGTCGTGCGCCAATTAGTCGAGCTCACGGCCTTCGAGATTATCGTCATTTACACGTCGCCCATCTGTGCGTGAAATGCTGTATTTGCGACTCGGGCTGTGGTCCGTAATAATATAATCGTCGTCGTCACTGAGATCGCTATAATCACCATCAGAATAGTAATCCCATTGCACGGGTATCTGCTCCCCGGCTTCGCCGAAACCAAACACTAGGCCGCGCCACTCGCCGGCAGCGATCTTGGCAGCTACCTTGAGCATCAGGTTTACTAGATGACCGGGCGGGCTGAGGAGTATCTCCACCGTCTTCTGGACGAAGGCAGCAGGAAGCTGACGAACTACTGCCAACGGGCCCTGTGAAATTGGTCTCCGGGGAGGGCTGAAAAGATTGGCGGCTGGTGGTAACGGCGATCCGGATCGACGACTAATGGAGAGGTTGGCATGTGATCGTCTACGGCTCGGTCTCTTCTCCTCAAATGTCGACAATCGAGATGCTTTTCGCCGATGTCCCCTTCCTCCAGTCTTATCGGACCTCTTACTCACGGCCGTAGGTGCATATCGCGTGGTGAACTCGGTGCTGCGGGAACTATCCAAGGCGGCTGCCAAATCAGGAACGTCATACTTCGCATTCCCCGGCATGATAGGTTCGCCAGAGGGCAAGGCCAGCTCTGGCGACAACACAGCGGATTCTGCTAAGGTTGATTGGGGGGTTTCAAATTTGGTGTGTTCATCAAGACAGGAAGATGGCCGCGATGAGAGCTGCGGGGTGGTAGGTGGCTGACATGACTGCACGCTGTGAAAAGAATCTGTAGATGCGCTAGGAGATTGACCTTCAGCTAGACCTGGCGATAATTGAATCTGCGACGCATTCTCGGCAGTAAACTGGTCATCTGATCTTGAGGGGGGCGATGCCACTAACGTTAGTTGTGGCGGAGTGATAACAGGAGGACCAGCAAGCAGCCGAGTCATCCACTTTTGTGTAAGATCAACTGGTGAAGCACGGCCTACATCTTCAAATGAGACCGGCTCATCGCCATCAGGCGGATGATCTGGCTCAAGAACGATATCATCCATCTGGTCTAATGAAGAAGGTCCCTGCTCCGTGTCGGGAATAATCGTGTCTGGCGAGTGAGGAGTCACATCGCCCAAATGAGTGGTTTCAGGGTTGTCAGTAAGATGGGCACCCGTTCCCGTCTCATTTTTTATCTGTGGAGCATCATGACTGGCCGTTTCGGCTTCCGTGGTGCAATCCAAGTCGCGAGGTTGATGGACCACAATCGATGATTGTGCAGGCGAAGAAGGACGGGACACTTCTGTTGAGTGCGTGTGAATTTCTTCGTGCAATGTCGGCTTCTCTTCTGCCTTCTCTTCTGCCTTCTCTTCTGAGAGAGATGGTGCAGGAGACTCTGATTTCTGGGCTTCAGCATCTTGTACCACCCCGGCACCGAAAGACGGCCGGGTGGGTTCTGGGCTAGTCGCTGAGTCTTGCGTAATACTCTCTGATGAAGTCGGTGAGGTTGCCGTAGCTTGTTCCGACACGCTAACGGGATGATCATCGACCCCACCCGAAGAAGATGCAAGGGGTACTGAGACACTACTGTGACTAGCATTCAGATCCCTACGCTCCTCAGGATTCGATGTGACATCTCCAGATGATTTCTCTCCTGTTTCTTCCAAAATAGAAGGGCTTTTCGGTGCGTTGTACGCGACCAGCTCGCCACTCAGGAGTGGAATATCCCGAGAATATACGCTCGTTGACCGTCTCCCCCTGCCTATCATTATAGGCGGATGTGTAGCAAGGGCCGCATCGGAATGGAAAGGAGAGGACAACAAGTTTTTCCCTTCTGCCGTCCAAGCCTTTTTTCTGACGGGTTCCGTGGGAGGGTCTGGAAGGCGGACGGTAAAGCTTCTTTCGAAGGGGCACTCGGTCTTCTCGAAAAGGAGAACCTTGTCCAGGACATCTCGCAAAAGCACGGCCCGTTGAGCATCATCGGGGTCGGTGACGGGTATCTCGATTCTCCAGTACTGGGGCCGGCGTATCTGCAGCACAAAACGGCTATTGTCTTCGTTGATACACCAGCACTGACTTTTGGGGAAGATAGGCTGCAGGGCAGAACCACAGCTGAGGAAAGCGACAGAGCCTGGCGCACGGTAGATTCGAAAGGCACCTTAGGGAATTGTCAGAGACAAAGATTGCTAAATCATTTAGACATCAGGGTGAGCAGCACATACCGGCAGCAATAGTCCTCTCCAGTCGCGAAGAGGGCGGCAGAGAGCCAGGAGGCGCCTCACTGCCCGGGGGGGCGTGTATCAATGCGTTGAAGTCGTGCCGGCCCGAGGTGAAGGAAATGATCCTCACAGACGGATGATTATACAGAGTTTCGACAATATCTTCAGACTTGGAGGCGGCAGAATGCGATGTGGAGTTGAAGGGCTCGTTATAGTCCGACTTGGACAGCAGCGAAGACATCGAAGTCGAGGAGCGCAGAGGAATAGTTGAGACCCGGCGAGGCCGAGAGGGAGCTCCTGTATTGGAGACGACTCGAGGGGGATCCATGATCGCGAAAAGACATGTGCAATGTAATGTACAATACCTACAGCGGTATCAGAGGTGGAAGTGAAGTGAACGCGCAGTCTACGCGGGTCTGGATATCATAACGAAGAGTACTGGAGATCAACTCGGGAGCAGTGGGATGCTCTAGGATGCTCTAGGATGCTCTAGGATGCTCTAGCTAGCAATCGTCGCGTCTAAACGCAAGGAATCACAGATCGGGGGGAACATTCGCTTCGCTTGAAGGCACCGTCAACCAGCCAGTCGTTGTGCGTTGTGCGTTGTGTTCGTAGAGGGAATTCTAAGACTCGTTAATTCGTGTCAATACACAATGGTCATACATATCACCAAATGGGCCTGGTGAGAGGTGTAATTGTAATGAAGGGAGTTTGTTTGTGTGTACCTAGCCTGTACGGTCGGTAGGTCTAGTAGGTCTAGTAGGTCTGGTAGGTCTGGTAGAGTAAAAAGACGAGCAGGTTCTGTTCTGGTGACGTACCGGGAAGGCACAGACACCCATAAGGCCATATCCACCTGAAGGTAACCGCGAGTCACCGAGTCCCGTGTCAGACAAGCACTGACCTCTTCCCCTGACACTAAAAAGCTGCTAAGAGCCTAAGCAGGTCCATACAGTCCCATGCACGCCATACGGTCAAATTCGGTCCAAATTCGGTCCAATTCGGTCCATACCGGTAGAAGCAAGGACGGTGGAGCGACGACTGCTGACGATTCTTAGTGGATGTTGTCGAGCGCTTATTCCATCTTCAAGGCCAGGTGGCGGAGTGGTTAACGCGGTAGACTAGAACTACTACATCAGTAGGAGTCTCTAAGCCATCTACTTCCTTCGGGAGCGTCTGTTCGAATCAGGCCCTGGTCGAGATATTCTTTTGTCTCTTTTTTCCCTTTCCGTTGTCTTTTTCTTCGCTCTTTTTGATTCATCACAATTCGCTTCACTTTTCAGTTTTGTGCTGTGAATTAGTTACCGACATTGGACAGCAGGCAGGGCCTGTGTGCCCTGAGATAGCCTTATCTCAACAGTATGCATATACCAATGATTACAGCTATATCGGTGTCATTACCTAATACCTACCCTCGAGACATTCTAGCCCGCTTTAAGCCGGCAGGTAAGCCCAAAGTCGTCATGACGATTACCAACTGACAATGCCGCATCTGTATGACAGTCCGGAGGCATATCGAGCTCCTCCCGTCCTGGTTAACATCGACTGTTGGGCGCAAATTCAACACCATACCTGTCTCCATTGAAATACACGACCCTTCCCCTTCCTCTACTTGTAGGACGTAGGACGCCACGCATACACATACCTCGAGGATCATCGACTTCTATTTCTCGAAACGGAAAGTAAGGCGCCACCCAATTTACCGCGCCAAGAACAAGCCAACAGTGCTATGAAAACACAATGGCCGACTCCGATGTTCTCGACTTTGTTAAAGTCAAAGCGAGAGAAGGCTTTGATGTTTCCAACTTCGACATTAATGCTGTTCTGCGTGGAGCCCAGCTTACGCTGGTCGGTGGTACGTACGCCTTCCTGTCTTCATTCGTCGTAATCCCCGAATAGAGAGAACCCGGGACCTGACTCGACAATAGCTCATAGAGCTTTACAAAACCCGGCTATATTCAACAATGCCCATTATAAGCAGGCCGCCTTGGCCGTCGCAGCTGGCATCGCCATTCGTCTAGCTTTTGCTGTTCCGGTATGCTATACTTACCACAATCGCCGAGCTTACCTACGAATGCTCACAACTTCCAGGTTATTGGGATTAAGCTGTCCCTGCACATATGCTCATTCATTTTCGACCTCGATCGAGCCGGCTGGGATAGCCATCTTGTCGATGGCCTCGATCTCATCGCCAACCACGTCCTGCAAATCCCGTTGTTTCTCATGACCTTGATGAGATACATGACCCCGACATTAGACGATATGTATGTATGCTCATCCTAGTCTCTGAGCTTGTCGGATGTCTACACAATGTAAGTGGGTAATCTCTAACCTCATGCTCGCAGGTTCATGGACTCCTTACTTTGGGTGGATAAGACCTATGCGTCGAAGCATAAACACGACAATCCCGAAGACCTTCGGGAAATGTACTATCCAAATCTCAGCCAATATAAGCATAAGAAGGATGTGGCACGTCCGAAAGGCTCGTCCAAAGATACCACCATGCTCATGATGTTCATGAAGCGATTCCTCCGCAAGGCAGGCATCTCCTTGGCCATCTTTGTCTTATCCTACACTCCCTACGTCGGCAAGCTAGTCCTGCCCGCCGCCAGCTTTTACACCTTCAAAAGGGCAGTAGGCCTCGGTCCCGCAGCTGTTATCTTCGGTACTGGAATCTTCCTTCCGAGGCGGTATCTCATCATCTTTTTGCAGACATACTTCGCATCTCGAAGTCTCGTGCGCGAGCTGCTAGAGCCCTATTTCAAGCGCATCCCTATGAGCAGCGAGCAGAAGAAAAACTGGTTCCGCAGTCGGGAGGGTCTTCTCTTCGGCTTCGGTATTGGGTTTTATATACTCTTACGAGTCCCGCTGCTCGGCGTGCTCATATATGGTATCGCGGAGGCCTCAACAGCGTATCTAATCACCAAAATCACGGATCCACCACCCCCGCCGGAGGCAACCCTGCAGCAGCAGGAGGAATTCATTGCGGGCCAACAAGTGTGGAGAAACAAGCATGAGTTCCTTGGTCTGTCACTTGCTAACCTCGATGCTGCGCGGAGTGGGCGGTTAAAACATGAAGCTAAACCAAAGGACCTTTAGCATCTTATCTATGTAGAGGATTGGAATGACAGCTGCATGAGCTACCTCTGTGAGCCTGTGCCGAATCGATAGCTGCCTAAATAGCATTGTTTCAGCCATGGGCAGTAACATTGATCAAAGATGGCATCCGAATGTCCCATCGGGCCATCGCTCGTAATGATAACCATAAGTTCACAAACCCCACGACCACAGGCCCCTGGGAATTGATATGCAGTTGTGATCCTTCCACGGGATACCAAGCAAGAGCAGCATGAGGTTTAGATAGCGCATATCCCATCCAACACTAGACTAGACTGCGAAAAACCCACTCACCTCGCCTCACTCCCAATCATACGCCGAGCACTTATCATTCCCCAACTCCCGAACACGGCCCGGTACCTTGTTCGAACATGGTTAACACCGGTAGCCGCCCCAGCTTGGGGGTTTCGCCGTCGCGAAACCTGGTATGCTCTCCTCGGCTAAGCACGGGAAACCATAGATAAGAAGTTGGTGCTGGATGACGTTTCTTTCTTGTAGTGCGGGGAAAGGTGATTTAGATAAGAGAGTGTGAGGTGAGTGATTTGGAAGATCAATGGGTCGGACGGAAATACACCGAGAAATATAAGTGAGGAAAGGGAGGGAGGTAGGCAGATGGTTACAGACAATACTGGTTATTATCTGGGCACGTGAGGTACTAATAGGTTTCGTTACCCGTGATTGTCGTGAACAAATCGTTCTGCAAGAGGTTTCTAAGTGTTCCAACACGTTAAGAAAGCGATTTGAATTGTGTCGCTCGACATCATGGGTAAATCAGCCATTCGAACGGCTAGTAAGGTCGATCTTAACACACCTGCTTCGGAACAGGCCAACCTACACGTATGTGTTCGGCCTCGCGTCGGCTTCAATTATGGAAATGGCTCGTTAACTGACTCGCATTCGTCTAGAATCGATGGCATCCTGATAGTACGTCATGCCCGTGCGAGTGTATCATGTGGTGTCGTCTTTTTTCTCTAAGAATACTTACCATACCCAGTTCCGTCCGCGGGTACGATCAAGGATGGCGAGACCGTGAAGATCGAGTGTGTAGACTGGTAAGGCTTCTATTCAGGTGGATTATGCTCTTTGCTTACCATTTTGGGATATTCAGGACTGGTGGCCAGATCGGCAATAATGATAGCGCAGATGATATTCGCGATGTCGACCTTACGCGCGTGCATTACCTGACTGGCCCGTTTGATATTGAAGGGGCGCAGCCTGGAGATGCTTTGCTTGTGGAGATTATGGATGTTCAGGTTCGTATTATTTGATTCTTAACCCTAACCCTTTGTTCTTATTCTTGAGTGAAACACTGGAAGGCGGGGAATGAAGAGAGAGTGGAAAGAAATCGTGGAGGACAATGCTCCAATAAGCGGATATGGCGAGAGACACATTGACTCAGGGCCCACGATACACATAATCAGACTTCCAAACACTGACCAAATACAATCAGCCCTTCCCAGATCAACCATGGGGATTCACGGGTGTTTTCGACAAGTCCAATGGCGGAGGTTTCCTCGACGAGATATACCCTTCCGCCGCGAAAGCGATCTGGGACTTCGAGGGCATCTACTGCACTTCAAGACACATTCCCCATGTCAAGTTTTCAGGTCTCATCCACCCGGGCATCCTCGGTTGCGCGCCCTCTGCGGAAATCCTTGACCTGTGGAATAAGAGAGAAGCGGAACTTATCGCGGCGAATAAGCTTGATAGACAGGTCGCGCTGCCTCCTGAGCCCATGAATGCCCATGCTGGAGCGGCGGATGCGAGTCTCAAGGAAAAGGTTGGAAGAGAAGGAGCGAGGACTGGTGCGTTTCGTCGATCATTTGTTTCTTCTTCCTCAATTTCTTTTTTCTTTTTTTTTTTTTTACAAAAAAAAAAAAAATTATTATTTACCCTCCGGAAGGAAGCCCTAGGGGATCCGCATGGTCATTCAAACTTTGAGTTCTGACACTTAAGTGTCAACAGCGATATTCTGACGTTTCACTAGTCCCGGGCCGGCCCGAACACGGAGGTAACTGCGATATCAAGAACCTCAGCCGCGGAAGTAAAGTCTATCTCCCTATTCACGTGCCTGGTGCCAAGTTCAGCGTGGGCGATCTGCACTTCTCTCGTAAGTCCTCTCCCTGATTCCCCATAACCCAGTTTCCCGGGTCTCGTCAACTATGAAACCAGGATCTCACACGGACGGAATACATAGAGGGCGATGGCGAGATCTCGTTCTGCGGTGCTATCGAAATGGCGGGTGTTATCACCATCAACTTCAAAGTCATCAAGAACGGCGTGGCGGATCTGGGGCTGAAGTCGCCGATCTACATGCCTGGGCCGGTCGAGCCCCAGTTTGGACCGGGCCGGTACATTTACTTTGAGGGTTTCTCTGTTGATGAGCATGGCAAGCAGCATTACAGTACGTCCCCGACCCGCTTTGGTTTATCACATCTGGCAGGCATACCCAGAGGCTAACTGTCGTGGCAACAGTGGACGTGGCGGTGGCATACAGACAGACCAGCTTACGTAGGTACTCAGTGGTGACGCACCACGGTCCCAGGTCAAGGTGAGCTGCAGCGGAGCGGTGAATGAGCTGACAAGGTCGACAGGTTGCATCGAGTATCTCCGTCGGTTCGGGTATAACGACTATCAGTCTTATTTGCTCATGTCGTGTGCTCCCATTCAGGGCCACGTGGCTGGTATAGTCGATATACCCAACGCATGCACGACCATTGGACTACCAATGGACATATTCGACTTTGACATCTCACCTTCAGCTTCAGCCAAGAGGCTTGAGATGGATGCTTGTGCCTTCGAGACGGGCGTGGCTGATGGTAAGGTCACAGCCGGCGGGCAGAATAGCGAACACAGCTTTGGTGGCGGGCTTACATATAAGGACGGGGCTGCATAAGCAACTTTAGTGGTGAGGTGTATTTCCACTAGATTGCAAACATGCGTCTTCGTAACCTCTCTTCGGGTTTGGTTGTCTGGTAGGGGTTTCGTACAGTCTGTAACTCGAGCCCTTTTACGGATCCGTATCTAAAGTGACTTATCAAGTTAACTGGTTACATATACCGGGTACGTTGTTGAAGAGGCT